GTGCCAAAACTTGGAGCTTTCACTTCCAAATTTCCTTTGGTCTGAGTGGTTGATTACACAAATAGAGATAATAGAATTCACCACAGAATACTGTTTTTGAATTGAGAATTCTGTTACATACTCAGAGTTTTCCTGAAGTTTCCCACACTTCTATTGAGAGTGACTCCTCAACATTGCTGATGTTGAGTTTCTATTTTGATAGCAAAATCAGACAGCATGAAAAGCTTTCTAACTGCCATTATTTAACTGATACTAACTGCAGATATTTCACATGAAATATTATATCCATTTTCACATGAAATAATATATACCTCTGAAGAAATAATATGTACCTTTGAAATTAAGTAGAAATCTTCCTGCCTTTTTGTACTCATCATCTTATTTCTTTCATGTGAAGGACCCATGACTAAAATTACATTTGAAAGCACATTTTAAGCATTATATTTTGTAATATCTTTGTATTTATGTAATTTTCTCCTCCTGTCAGAGACTATGACAAAGATATTTCAAGAAAAGGGGATCATGGCAGGAGAAGAAAGAGCTTTTAAACCACATCTGACCTTCATGAAGTTGTCAAAATCAACAGAGCTACGTAAGCAGGTGAGCCCACATTTCACATAGCTCAGCAGCAATCTATGAAGTTTAATTTGGAGATGGACAGTGTTGTTTATGCTGTAGCATCATATTTGCTACTTTGCAACGAGCTGAAGAGGTAAGACTTTAATACTTGGTTTTTAAAGAAATAATTAATGTGTCTGCTGTATAAGCAATTCTGTACTGTAATTTACCACTCTTGATATTTTCAGTGCAGTAATATCATGGTCTGTTTTCTGCTGGGAAATTAGGCAAGACCAAAAGATAAAAGTACTTGTTCAGAATTGCAGAACTCCCATTAGGGGGTAGATTGTATGCAGGCAGTTTGTTTGCTGAGTTTTGTTACTGTATAGGAGAAAATGAGCACATAAACAGCAGAATTTCTGTTTGGATTATGCATAGTAGGCAGTTAGTTCCCTACTGAATATGCTTTGGTGAATTTCAGAGTAATGAGGAAAGCTTATATTAATAAATGTATATAATATAATTTAATATATCTTCTATATTCTCTCTTGCAGGCAGTTATTTCGTGCCTGTTTATTTGGGTTTTTTTGACAAAATACACAAATACATGAAAATAGGACATAACTGTAATTAATATATATATAAGCAATACTAGTGTACCTTTTTTATTTCATGCTGTAATTTAATTTAACTGTAGTACTGTATTATTTAACACAAGGTTAAATACATTGTCTATACATTTTTTTTACTGACATTTTATAGAATGTTTTATATGATTCTTTAACATTAACTAGGAAAATAATTTTTGGAAAAAATATTTTAAATAAGAATTAAAGTACATAAAACTAATATTTTAAGTTGATTTTTCCTTAATAGTGGGTTAAAGTTTAATTATTAAACTTTAAAGCTTAATTAGAAATATCTCTAAAAATGCTGAAGGTGCATGCTTTAATTAAGTAGTATTTTTAAATCAGTAGAAAGAAGGTAGTGAGATCTGAGATACATCAAGAAAATTTGAGGGTATGTGTACTTGTTCTAAAATAGAAATAAATACAGCCACAGGATGCAGGTGGTATATGATAGATATTAAATTTTTAAACTCACAGAAGCTTTTGCTTGAAATGACAGTTGGGTTTTTAAAATGCTAATTGTAAAAATGCACAGATCTTCTAGAATATCAGCTGTTCAGTGATCTAACTGGTTAAAACATCTGAGACAATCAGGGTGGGATTTTTGCTATTCTGTATTTTTTCTGGTTTTTAGCTGGTTGGTTGTTTCATTTACATTTATCTACCTTCCATGAAATATTAGCCAGGATATATCCTTTCTGTGTTCTGATATTCACTGCTGCTGACAGAACCAGGTCAATGTCATTCCAAATCATCTTCCTGAGCCCTCCATAATGCTGGATAATGCATATGATCTACTGCATAGAAAGGTTCTATGTATTAAAAATCTGTCTATTTTTCTCTGCCAATTCAGTGTGAGGCATAAGCATCAGTCTTTACTATAATTTTTTCTTTCACTGTGTTCCTGCAGTTAGTTAGATAGTTTCATGCATTTATGGAAAACAGTAAATAAAAATATGTATCATAACAGGAATAATTATTTGGCAGTACATTTTAGTACGATGTCTAATTGCATTTTCAGATCTTACAACAATATGAAAAGCAAGAAAAGGGAAGTGGATGAAGGTTACATGAGAAAGCATATAAAAGAGCATATAGTACTGAAGTGGTTGAGTATAGTTCTCAGCCATAGCTTTATATAACTATATTAATTTATTTTTTAGATGTAAGCCTCCTTATTTGAAACAATATTCTGTTAAGTCACCCTCCTCTCAATGACATCTAAATTCCACCAAAGTTATATTTTGGGGGGAAAAAAAAATCTGTTTTTTAAACCTTAATATAGCTGCAGTCATTTTGAAATTTATATATTCTGTAGAGATTTTAAGTTTTCCAAAGTGAAAAACTGTATTTACAAAGCAAATAGTTTGAGAATTCAGAACTAGTAAAGATCTCAAGAAATCAGGTCTTCACTTTGAAGGCACATCATTAAGCTAACAATGGTAAATCTAAAAAACTTGGAAACATATATTAATAAAGGATAGAAGTGTGAAATAAAGTGCATTAGAAAATAGCTATCTGGTTTACTGTACCGCCTTCAGCTTCTCAAATTAAAGGACTTATTTACCTACTCAGAAGTGGGACCAACTTGTTCTTCATGCTTAGTTGGACATTTCTCAGATTAGATGTGCCACTGAACACTTCCCTAAAACCAGGAGGTGTAGTGTGCTATAGATGTCCTTGTGGAAGGAGACAAAAAGGGATATAATTTACTTGCTCATGTTCAGCTATTTCCAGAATTATTTGAATGAGGAGAATCCTGGGTTAGTGTCATTATCTTCTATGCAAAGAACCTAATGAAGCACAATAAAAGAAGCAACTGGAGTTTTGCATTTGAAGATAAATGTTTCTGTTCCTTCTTCCCTCACTCACCCCCTAAGTTGACCCCAGTCAGACACAAGCCCTGTGTCTTCCATTTGTCCAGATTCCTATTTATTTCAGGGTGTGTGGTGAGGCACTTCATAAATGCTGTATGATGTTTGAAGGTGCTTTGATACCTACTACTGTCAGAACTGCAAATGCTGTGAAATGAATTTCATAAGTAGAATATGACTGACATATAAATTGCTCTGATGGCATCTGTTTAATTAGTGCAGAGTATATCCCTAGCCTAGACAGTGGTTGACAACAAAAAATGCCAAAATTATAAATCATGTATCTTTTGTATATTATATTCTTTTGTACGGTGTATCTTTAAAATGCTGCATGTATAGTTAGTAAAAGAGAATATACTATTGAGAAAAATATTTGTATTTGCAACACTTCTGAGTATTGTTCAAGGCCTGATTCACAGCTGCCGTTCACTTCAATGGTATCTTCATAATGATACCAGATATTATGCAGACAGTATTATTATGATTGCACTGGAAATAGCATTAAATGCACAATTCAGTAATTTATCATTGTATCTTTTAATGTTAATTATGTTAAACTTCTGTCACTTTCCAGTTTCATACAGAAATAGCATAAGGTACTTATTTGGTAATAATAATAGTTTACGTTATCGTCAAGGAGGAAATTCCGCACTGGAACAAACCCAAAGCAGTGTCTCCAATTTCAGATCTTTTTGATGTATACTGATACTCATCTTTTTGCTACCTTCAACCAGATATACCAGATAACATGTTCAATACTCATAATTATGAAGGGATTTAATTTTTTTTAAATGTAAATTTTCTCTCAGTTTATGTGACATTAATATTTTTGGCTTCTTGAAATGACATAGATGAGAGATGTAGTATGTCTTTTGTTTGCCATAATGTAAGTGGTTAGAGCAAGTTTTGGCAGACAATAAGTTATCTAATGTCCCCTCTGTCTTATTTACATGAGGAATCTCAGGCACTTGCTTGGCTGCAGGAAAGGTTATTGCTTTGATAGTGTTTAGATATGGCTCTTGCATCATTAATTTGTTAATGAATTTTTCTTGCATATGCATACATAAAATACTGTGTTCAGTAAAGATCCTCTACATGATGAGAGAAGTGAAAGGGAATCTTCCCTTTCTGGTATTAATCCTCAAATGTTAATAATTGAGAATAGAATAGGAAATGTGAATTTCTCTCTTAAATTCCTAGATTTGTAATTTCGCCTTTATACCAGTGTGGCGCAGACACATAGTATGCATGATACAACTGTATCATACAGAACCTTAAAGAAGAGAACAGTTCTCAGTAAAGCTAAGGTATTTTTATTTATCAGTCCCAACTGAATCTGACCACCAGCATTCCTTTTATAACTAACTCCTGGGATCTCTGGCATTTGGACAGAAAAGCTGGTATAAGAAAGCCACAGAGCCATTAAATCCCTCTGCATTGCCACTTATGCCAGCCTCTCTATCAGTGGTTTTTATCGTGACAATTCTTAATTGTTGGTACAAGAGTCTGAGCCACATATTTATTTGGAATCTTTTATGCTGATTCTAAAATGGCTGAAACCGTCACTTTGGCACAATATGAAACAATAAACACGTTCCTTTAATAGCCTTCTAAGAGCAGTAGAAATGTGTTGTGATTTTTCTGCAGTGTATTTTTTTAATCTGAGGTTCCAGCAACAGGGACAGAAAATACATGAACTGAGTGACCCAACAGCTGGAAGAGGTTCTTAAAATTCTTCCTCTTCATACACTCATCGATACACCATATTGCAGGGATATGTAAGTACTTGGTTTAAACAAGAAGAAGGAAGGACATAACCACAGATAGTTTGTTATAAGCTAAATGTCCTGTGAGGTGTCATGGCATAGTGATCATTCTTTAAAGTACCAGACTTTCCATGGCAGATATGATGCAGTCTATGTATTTACACATACCCTTGCTACAGGACTGAGGCTGCAGAAGGCAACACTTCTTTAGACATGAACTCTTCCAAGTCCACCTGGGGATCATCAAGGTCTATGCAAAGAAACTTTTCCACAACAGACTTGCATTTTTCCATCCTATCACATTTTGAAGGATGATCAAGACATTTGATAGGTTTTCCATTGCGAATCAGTTCTGATACTTCCACTCCTCTTTCAATAATTTTGGCTGGCATTCCTGCTAATGCAGCAATATTGGCAGCATGACTAATGGTGGACATGCCCTGTTTGATCTGGTAGAAAAATATCAACTCCTCTCCATCCTGATGGGTCTCCATGGTCAGGTGTTCCAGAAGAGGTGTGTCAGGCAGGAGATCTAGCTGCATTAAACTGTGAAAATTAGTGGAGACAAAGACCTGTGGACACTGTGCTCCTTGTCTGATCCAGTACCTCAGGACAGCAGCCAGAAGGGACAGGCCATCCAGTGTGTTGGTGCCTTTACCAAACTCATCAATAAGTACCAGGGACCTCTCTGTGGCATTGTTTACAGCCTTGGCAACCTGGTTAAGATCAATCATGAATGTGGAGAGCCCTACAGAAACTGATTCCCTACTGTGGATTCTTGTGTAAATCCCATCAATTACTCCAATCTCTGCCTCTGCTGCAGGGACATAACTGCCGATTAGAGCCATGAACACTATAAGACCTACTTGCTTTAAGTAAATACTCTTTCCAGAAGAGTTGGGCCCTGTGATGATCTTTATTCGTCTGGTAGCCTCACCACTGTCCACAGGATTGGCCACGAAAGTCTTTGCACATAGTTCCATGAGCGGATGCCTTCCGTCCTTGATGTGGAAGCCGAGGCGGTGAGTAAAGCGAGGGCGGCAGTAGGCGTTCTCCCGCGCCGTCGCTGCCAAGGCTAGCAGCACATCCAGGTGTGCAGTGTACTCGATCACGCTGTTAAGTACTTCAGACTTCTCCAAGATCCTTGTCTGCAGCTGGTGCATGATGAGTGTTTCCTGGTCTCTGATCTCACAGTGCAAGTCACCCAGCAGGCTGTCTAGCTCCTTGGTCCGGGCACTTCTGTAGTGCAGTTTATCATCTGACAAGAACATGAAGTCCAAGCCTTCAATTTCAAAGTCAGTCTTATCCACCATATTTGGTAGCCGTGGAATGGAGAGAAGGAACCCAATCAAAGGAATGTAGATTACAGCACAGAAGGGAATATGATTGTCCAAAGTCTCTAGTTCTTTTTGTGCCACTTCTGTAAGGAAGTCTGACAGTCCCATCAGCTTTTGTTTCTTCTCATCAATCGTGGCATCTACATTGGGTCTAACAGTGAAGCGGTTCTCGGAGAGGCTGCCTTCAAAGTCTACCACTTTGCTGATCAGATTAGCAATGTAGTGCAGATCATCTGTGAAGACACGTGAAATAGTCTGAAAAAGTTCAATAGTGTTGGGCAAAGAACGACACGTATCTCTAAGGCACACTGCATTGTACGCTGTCTTATACAGTGCATGCCAGTCACTAACTTTTGTGTTGGAAAGAGTCATTCTCTTTAAAATAAGAGGCACATTTTTAATATTCTTGAGGCAGTTTTGAAGAGTGAGGACTGTTTCATGGTTCTGAGCTAGCAGGAAGAAGTTGATAACATCCAGCCGTTTGTTCAGCTCTGTCACGTTACGGGTAGGTCGTGTGAGCCACAACCTCAGCAGTTTTTCTCCCCATTTGCATCTGCAACGGTTTAAAATTCCAAATAAGCTAAATCCTTCTTTTAGTCCACTGGATAGCTTGTACACAGAAGGATGGATATCACTTTTAAATATCTGCAGAACACAGTAAGTGTCTTGGTCCATATTCACAGTATCTGATAGCACAAATTTTTTAAAGGCCAAAATAGGAACTGCTATACTGCTGTCTTCAAGTTCAACTCCAACCCTTCTTCTGTCTAGAAATTTAAGAAGGCCTCCTAAGGCTCGTAGCATGAGTGGACTCTCGAAAGGGATGATTGAGGACAAATAGAGAATTTTCTCTGTGGCAGTCATGTGAGATGGGATAAATGGAAATTGCCTAGACAGGATCCGTTGCTTGCTGACTTCTAGACCAAAATCTATGTTGGGAAACAGGACAATTTCTGGTTTTCCTATGTCTTTATCACCAGCAGTAGCTGTTAGGTTGGTCAGGAATTTGGCAATATTCTCGTCCTGTTTTGCACTGGTCACTATGCATTGAGGGTTAAGTTCCCCAATCACTTTTTGCAGTAGCTTGAGATCTTCATTGTCAGGTATGTCAGGCATGAAGTACACTGAGCAATCTTCTGTATCATAGTAAGTAATTGCCAGCTGCCCTGCGTACCACAGAACAGACATATGTGTCTCTGAGCTCTCTTGCTCCTCTTGCTCAGGCCCAGGCACCGGTGGCAAGGCACAGCTCGTGGCTGATGTGGCACTCATCTGTTCGCAAGAGGTTTTTTTATTCACAACTCATCCAAAATGTCCTGAGAAGTAACTTTAATTGACAACAAGAAGTTAACAGAAAGTCACTCTTCCAACCCTGGAGAATCTAAGATGCTACCAGGAATTGACTACAAATGTTCAAGTGAAAAGACACAGCCAGTGACTACAGCCACTGTTGGCTTCCAAGGAAGGAGTAATAGAGCTACTAGCATTAAAGTTTTTCTTTGTATCCTTTATTTTTTTTAAGTCTATGTAGACCCAAGTACCCATAAATGCAGTGACATGCACAGACATATATATCCATGCACAAAATCATCCTCCCTCAGAGGTTCGTGACATGCACTTGGGCTGACCATGGCTTCTCTCAGCAGTGCAGCCCCATAGCCTGGCCATCCTTTCAGGGTCACAGCCCCATATTTATGCTGCAGCATCACATAGCACCAGTTTATATAGAAGCTCATAAGGGATGGGACACACCAATCCCTGTCAGCACCTCACTTCCAATCCTCTCTCTCTTCTTTGCTCCCTACTCACCCTCCTCACCACAGACAGGCAGCTCGTCTCAGCTGCTGCTCCTCCCTGCAGCCCAAAGTCGTTGTGCTGTTCCCTTTCCCTTCCTCTCCGTCGGGAGGGCCCGTCAGGGGCCCGGAGCCGCCTCTGCGCGGGGCCGCGCCCACAGCGGCGCTATGGCGGCGGGCGGGAGCGGCCCTGGGGCCGCGGCTGCCCCGCCCGGAGGAGCACCCAGAGGGGTGCTTGGTTGTGGCGTCTGGCACATGGAGCCCGGAGTGCTTGCGTCTCTGCTACCTGCGCTGTCCCCACTGGAGCCTTCCTGCCCCTGCTCCCGAGGCTGACTGGCAGTAGCCACGGGGACTGCAGGAGATTCAACTGCTGGGATAGCTGGCTGCACCTTCCCAGAGACACGGGCAGGAAAACCAGACATTGCAGGGATGCCAAAGGCATTCTCCTGGTGCTCTGGCGGTCCTGCAAGAGCTCTTTGTGCCGTACCTCTCCAGACTTCATTACTCGTCCGTGTCCTTTACAGGCATCATCCATTACAGAGCTTCCTCGAGAGGCAGTCTTCCTCCTCCCCTTCCAGCACCAAATGCTTCAAATACTCTTGTTTCTCACCCTCCCCCATTACAGCTTATCTTATTATCAGCATCTGTACTATTCCCATGTGGTAACAACTTTTGTCTTGCATCTCTACTGTTCCAGACCCTTTCAGTTAAGAAATGAGCCATGACCTTCCCATGTGCCTGCATTGCTTCATCCTTTCACATCTCACTGCAAGCAGCACTCCAGAAATTGTTCCAGTTACTAAAAATAGCATCATTTTCCCATGGCTGCTTTTCCAAATACCTTTCAGTAGTGCATCACAAGCACGACTCAGTTCCTTAGTATTCAACATTTGATTCACACCTTAGCAACCTGTCTTTGACAAGCAACATCCCAATCTCTTGTAAATGTTGTTTTTTTTTATTGGAGCATGAAGTTGTGATTTTTATCTTTTCTGCATTTCATTCCAGAGTAACTCAAGGCTTCACATTTTGGCAAGTGTTCTCCTGGCTGAAAAGATCTTTTTTTATTACTAATTGATGTCTAACTGTATTTCCTAGAATTGTCAGCCAAAAAGCAAGGAATGATGATTTAATGTCAGAATAACCTTAGTACATAAGGACTAGTCTAACCATAGAACATAAAATGTTAAGTAATTACTGTGGGAATGGAATAAATGTAGACTTCCACGGAGATTTAGATTCCCAAATTTCCATTTCTTGAAATGAAAAGCATAGACCACTAGATGTCATCATTTCAGAGATTAAGGAAATGAGAAGACATTTGATCTTCTCTAACGTAGCCTTTACTTTTCAGACTGATGAGTTGCCGAGAAACCACAGGCAAACCAGGACTTTGCAGCCATTGGGGATGTAAAGCCGAGAGTCCAGGGTGTTGGCAGGTTGATTGTGCAAATGCATGGGGTGTGTGCAGGGGGAGAAGCTGGGGAAGAACACAAAAGAGGAGTGGACAGTCCAGGCTTCAAAAGGGGCCAGTCCTGTTTAAAATGAGGCTCGTGGGCATGCCTGTCCAGCTGGTTGCCAGGGGCAAATGTCTGTATGCTCCCCAAACTGTGTGTGTGGGAGTGCAGGTGTTCACTGCCAAAACTCAAGCTGGGCCAGCCAGCAAGTGGGAGACCTGTGGGCTCAGTGATGCCGACAGTCTGGGCAGGGGTCCTGGGGGAACAGAGGGGCCATGACAGTGCTTCAGGAATGCACAAACGTGAACACAGACAGAAAGGCATGTATATCCTACATGGCTGACCTTCTGTCCCTGCCAGGAGCGACCTGCCCTTGTGTCTCCTGTGAGCCCCATGTGCAGGTGCTGGTGAGGGCAGTGGCATCCATGTAGCCAGCCATGTCCATGTCCTTTGAGCACTTGTCTCTGGGAGGTGAAAGCAGCAGGTACATCCGTCAAAGACTGAGGCTCCTCTACGCTGGACTGGACTCCAGCAGCCAGGCAGTAGGGAACACACCAGCAGGGGCTGGAGCTGCTAGAGGCTCCTAATATTCCTTAGCATAGAATAATGATATTTAAATAGCAAACAGCATTATTGGGAGGTAGACTGAAAGAGAAAAGACTGAATTGCTGCAGAGATCATATATTTTTATTGACAATGAAATGGAATGAGGACCCCAAAACTCTTAAAATAAGTACTGAAATGATGTTTTCTGAAAATATCCTAACAGAGTATTTATTATGTTCCTCTTCATATATGCAAAACTGCACAATAATTTCAATATTATAAATCCCGGTAAGTTTTTCAATTTACTAAGATAAAAGAAGTCTTGTGCTGGTAAAATACAACCATTTCTTCCTGTGGGCTGATTTTAATGACTCAGAAAACTGACCTTGATGACCATTTGAGATTGTTCCTAGCAGCAGCGTGCCCAGTGATGACTGCAAGAATAATTGCCAGTTATATGTTCCATGAACACTGTTGCAAACCACTGGAAGTTGAAGCAGTTCTAGCATTGTGTATGTCTATTTGTTTCCTACAAGACTGAAAAAGAAGTGGTAGAAAGGAGGACTAATGCCACCTTTATTTTATTGTTATTTTCTGCAGTAGACAGTGCTTCCCTAAACAGAAGATTTGGCATATGATTATTTCTGTATTTGTTTTGCCTCTTCAAGTAGTTTCCATACTTACTGTACTTATGGTTAAAATGTAAACTATGGGAATTAGATATAAAAATTCAGTCTCCAAGTAGAATGAATTTTATGTTGCTTTTTAAAGGTGAAAAAAATTGACTCTAGTCTGTATGAAGATTTCAAAAACCATTATTTTGGAGATGAGATCTTGCACCGCTTTGATCTTTGCTCCATGTTGAAAAAAAAGCAGCCAAATGGTTACTACTACTGTGAGTCCTCCATTGTTTTTGGTAAGTACATAATAATTTTCTTCTGGTCAGTTGCATCTCTGAGTTATATGTGCAAAAAGCCATTTTTTCTGGAGTGTGTGTTAGGCAATTCTTATAAGATCCATGGAGTCTGACAGAAGCCTCTCCTTCAGCCTTGGCTCTGCAGGAACTCTGTGCAGTGGTTCTCACTGACAGCTAAAGTTTTTGTTCAATTATCTATCTCCAGAATCCCGTTCCATTTCTCATCCTAAAATGAGTGTTTAAGATAAGTGAGATGTATCACTCTACAGAGCTGCTCATCTCTCTCTTGACTTTAAAGACAGGCTGTGTGACTAAGTCAGATTAGACACAGTACTTACAGATGATTAAAGCTAAGTGAAATGTCTCTGCTATGGCAGAGATGTGACCTTACTTGGACTACATTCATGTACAGAGAGAATTGCAAGTGGTACCACAGATTTGATAATAAGTCTTCAGAATACCATTAGACCTTAAACATTGTTCTGACACCTTGCTAGATTATTACAATGCTAGAAATCAGAGTTGTGTTTTCCTGCTTTGTCTGAACAGAAATACCACTGTTAGTGCTGATTTGAGGACTACATGTAGGGTTTTGGTGACGATTTGGTTTCGCCCTTGTGGTGACTACTTTGTGCTGCAGCATTGCTGCTGGAAGTGCTTACTGGTCGTGAGGAGTATTCTGACGACTTTTAATTAAATACTTAAATATGCCAGGCACCTCACAAATTCTAGTTGCTGTTTTGTTTGTGCTTAGGGTCACCTTTATTTAGCTTAGCTGAATTGTTACCAAAAAAATCAAAAGCAGTACGGAGGAAAAAAGTATAGGATGTGGCAAAACTATTGCAAAATCCAGATCAGTCAAAATCAAAATGAGATACATTTATACATATTTATTTATCTATATATCTGTCTTATCATATTTATTACCTTGTGTAATGTATGTCTCATAGTTATGTTTATCTTTGTGCATATAAGTATATATATATAATGTCTTCTGTACGTGTTTGTGCATTTAAATATTATTTATATGCATCCAAATTACTGAGAAAGAGAAATTACAGGATCATTTAACATGGTATAAAATTTTTGATTTGGATGAAACTGAGGCTCTGCTATTTACAAATATTCTTCAGACTATTCTGGAATATGATTAAGGAATTTGGTATATAACTCATTACAACAAAAGAATCTGCTTAGTAGTATATTTGGTAGATATGTCTTTCCCAAACATTTATTTAAATCTGTCTTCTTGAACTTGTCTTGTTACTGACATCTCAGATTGCTAAAATGAGACAGTCTTTCAGCAGTGTTTTGAATGTGGGTCCCATTAAATGGTTTACAACAGCAATCAATCAACCAGTATTCAAAGCAAGAATCAGATGCTTGTTTGGCTTTAACTCAATTCCAGTATGACCATGTGTAAAGAATTTATGTGTCATTTTCATAGTCCAAACAGAACTCTTCTTTGAATTATTTTTACATGATTACTACATCTTTCTCTAGCAATAAAGAAAATGGATGTTCTTCATTGTTAGTAGATTAAGAAAGGGCACTATTATT